TAAATTACAAAAATACCCTTAAATAGGGAATCTTTGACTCAAAAACCTAATAGTGATTAATCAGCTAATTGACCTTCGTTATGATAAAGATTATAAGTTTTTTTTCGAGAATAGTAAGAGCAACTACTAGATGCTACACCTGCATTGTTCGATGTACGAGAGTTAAATTACAAAAATGCCCTTGAATATGTATGTCGTGGGTTGGCAACAGACTTCGAGATTTTTTATGGTCCCCAAAAAATCAAGGCAAGCAATTGTAGTTGAATTTGATCAGCCTCCATGGGGGACATGTTTTCTTACGTCATTCTTTTGTGTCCGTAGGGAAGTTTGATGGGTACCTTAATTTTCTTTTACACGTACAAGTTTGCGCATGCCCTAATGCAATCATTTTAGGGTTTATAGAATGAGAAAATCCCCATTTTTAGGCATAGCTAGGGTTTTATATTTTCATATTCACTAACAATTAAATCTGTATGGATTTTACTTTTTGTAATGACATGAATTTTTCGTTAGCTTCCAAAACTCTACGTGTTTCACATGCTTCGACTATTTTCGTAACATTTTCTTATAGATTAGGGTTCGTGTTTCGCCTCTTAAATCATATAAATATGAGTTACAGAAACTTTAACCAAATAACTCAAGGAAAGAAAAGATCACGTATTTATTATTGTTGAGCTATGTTCATGTTGGTTACGATATTGAGTTATTAATAAGACACAACTGATCAATGTTTGTGTTATGTTATGTTTGATTCACTTGTCTAAACAGAACATATATGACGCGCGCGCGTAGACATGATAACTTTTCTTAGTACAACAAGTTGGGGTATGACGATTTGACCTTTGCAGGTTGTCACATCCTTTCTTTTTTCTATGAGTACGGAGGTGGTAATAAATAGAGATCTCCTGTTAGCTGTCTTCTCTTCCTATTATTGAACTTCGTTTGAGATATCTGATCTCATTGAATTTCACTTGGACGGGTGATCTGGGAATAGCAACAAGAGAGGGCTCGTTGGTACCGTCATTCGAGAAATCCCTCTGAGGATGACTCCCATACAATTCTTACGAGAGATAGAGAAACGTCTACGGGTAAAGCTTCGTATCCATATGATTGCTTGCCACCTATGCTCTGTCATCCATTCAAATTTTACAAACCTAGGAAATAATATCTCGATAAAAGAGCTGACGTAGAGGATTAGTCAAATAGAGAGTCTGTTGGGCAAGGTTAAAAAAAAAACTACCATCTCCAATTTGAGTATAACTCAGCAAATAATTATCATATAAAATATAGACAATTCAATCTTTTGCTCGTACAATCAAATAAAAACAAAACACTTGGCAAATATAAAAAATTTCAACATCGAATCAATTTGGTCTTTTGTCAAATACATCATAAACTTTCTCCATCCACATATTCTATGCGTTTAAAGCAACAAACGATCATCGATGGAGTTAACAGTATAGCTGCAACTAAACCAAACGTTCGATCGGTACCGTTTATATTATCTTCCCCGGGTGAGAAAGAGTAGGTATTGAAGTAGGAGATTGAAAAGAGAAGCAGGCCATTTATGGTTGCTCCCAAGCATGTGGTTGTGTTGTAGAAGGCAGCAAGATATAAGGGGTTAGAGTAAGGACCATCAAGGGTTGGAGGCACATAAATGGAGGCCATAATGGGGTATGCTAATTTAGTTTGCTTGGTACACAGCCTGCTCCCAATCTCTGTTAGAACACAAAAATGTTAACAATAAACCTAACTCGGGTGTAGCTTTTTGGTTTATTCATACCGCCATAACTAAAGTTCGATAGATGAACATGCAATGTGTTGCCCAATATACTTTATGTCTGTTGAGTTATGTTCATATTGGTCAATTTATTTATAAGTTTGGAGAAACTTGAACCGGTAACACAAGGATTTTTAGTCCTTTGCACTACCAAGAGAGCTATACCGGCTATTTCCGACCCAATGCTTTTTGACTGAGAAATTTAAGGCAATAGACCAAAAAAAAAAGGAAAAGGGAAAGGGCATAGCTTTTATGGGGTGATTCCATGGGGAGAAGAGAAACAGTTTACGAGAAGGATTGGTTTGGTTTGGATCAGAAAACCATGCATTTTCATTACATTCATTCATTCATTCAAAAGAAATCCAATTTCCAGGCGTTGCCCCTCCTCATAATCTGGACTCTGACTAATACTTCCCCTTCACCTCTTTGCTATTTCTGCAAAAGCTGTTCCTCAACTTGTTGGCCCTTTAATTACCCCTTTTCTTCCCTTTGACGGTGTAGTTTTGACCCCACCTATCGATCACTTTTGATCGTTCAAGTTTGAGTTTGATATCTATGAGTATTTTGAGTTTCAAAGAGGCCTATTGTCTATTTAGTCCATGAATTTTCGATCCTTTAGTTTTGAATAGGAATCGAACAAGTTTAAAGTTACCTAAAAAGAAGGAAAAGAATGCAAGGCCTATGGCTATTGAAAAGTGATAGCCATTGATTCAACAATAAAAGATGAAGAATGCACAAAATAGAAGACCAACAAATTTCCGAAGGCTGCTAATGGGAGATACATTACACTACACTAGTAACACATGACATATTTCATTCAGCAGCATTCTAACAAATTAATACATGGCGATGATTTTTGAAAATGAAAACACGAGAATTTACTTCGATAACCTTGCCTTCTGAACTCTGTCCACCATACGGTTCTTCGACAACCTTGCCTTCTCAGGTCGTCTTCTGAACTCTGTCCACGTACGCCTGACAAGAAAACGAGAGCCGTTGAGGAAACATATTATACAGAACAGAACAGAGAGTGAAACATTTGAGAGAGAGGACCAAATACTTTAGATTGAGCTAGAATGAATCCAAACAAAAGAACAAGGACCATATAAAAGTGTGTGTGTGCAGGTCAGCCGTGGAAGTAGTGTTTGGTTGCCATCTTCAAGGTCCTGGTGTATCCGAGATACTGCGACTGAGTCAATTTAAACGATACCAGAGAGGTTATAAGAGGTGTATGTTTACAAGCATCCGGGGTACACAGTAATGCCTCCAACAGTCATGAGCCGAACGGCTAAATCGTTACACAAGATGTGTAGTTCACCATTTTCAAGTTTTTTTCTTCTAGATTCTACTGTTCAGGTTCAGGTCTAGGTGAGCTCAAACATCTCAATGAATCTCCTACTGCTTGTGGGACTTCTGTTAGGCAATCGATTCGTGGACAACACATAGTACTTGTAACAGCTCCCAAGCCCACTGCTAACAGATATTGTCTGCTTTAGCTCCTACCGTATCACTGTCTGCTTCACGATTTTAAAACGCGTCTATTAGGGAGAGGTTTTCACACCCTTATAAAGAATGTTTCATTCTCCTCTCCAACCGATTTTGACCCATGATCTTTTCACAGTAATTTCCAGAATAGATAATAGTCTCAATCAGCAATAATAATGTTGCCTTGTGAACACATTGAGCCTGATTCTTTTTTTTCTTGACAAACTGACAAACATTACTCGATGCATCAATGAAACACATTTCTATCACTATCCCTATGAATATATGATATCAAACTACTACTAGTCACGTTATGGTTAGAAATGGCATATTGGATCCTAAAGTACCAGTTTTCATAAATTATTCCAAAGATTTGGAAAATGATAACCCGAACAACCCTAGCCAGCCCATGAATACCCTTCACTAGTCTTAAAGAGCCCTTGTATCCTTTTGCCAATACGCTCGTGACACATGACTTTCGTTTTTACAATGAAAAGGCCAGCTTTCGTTTGAACAAATTTAGGTACAAAGAGAGGGCTACACGAAAAAGACCAAACAGGTGTGGAGAACACAAACAACTGGCAAAAGAGAGCCAGAGCTTTAGGTAAGTAAAGCTGTTAACAGTTCTGAAGCATGTTGAAATAAAAAGCCCAAAGGGAGGCATAAATGCACCACAAAACGAACACTACTTCTGTATTCTGTTTCAATCCAGCCATATAAACCACAAAACAGCAAAGAAGCAAACTTGCCATAGCACACAGCCTTTCCTCCAAAATGGAAGATCAATACAACTTTCTCCATCATCCTCAAAGGCTCAACCTCTAATAAGCTAAATACGAGTAAAAAACTTTATCAAGAGATTGTGAGTTTTTCCAGTTGTCGTTTGGGTTTGTCTCTTTGGGGTATACAGTCTAGAAGGAGGCTCGGAAGTCGTGGGAGACAAACACACGAGAGGTCATGAACGGAGGTGAACCGGGGTTGAAGGTATGTTTTTAGGTTTCTCGTGAACTTTAAGAGGCAATAACTTACTTGATTGTGGATGATTTTTGTTGATTCTTGTCTCTATAGACTCGTGAGGAGGAGATCTACACATTCCTTGAAGAGGTCGAGAGGTAAAGACACCCATAGGAGAAAATCAAGAACAAAAATCCAAAGCTACGGTTTGAGTTTTTCCCCAACCTTGATTGACCATATCTTCCTCGTTTTTTCATGAAAATTTATGAAACTTGTCCTATGGTGTTCTTGCATTGTAGATGTACAAGTTTGATTTTGAAAATGACTCAATTAAGGTTTTTTTTGCTAGGGTTTTGGGTTGTAAGGTCATTTATTCAATTCCACATGGTCCTTTTCTTCTTTGTTTTTGTTTTAGTACAATCTCTTGTTTATATAAAAAGAGTCTGTGACGAGGTTTCCAGATCTGCTTAAAATCACGTCAAAATGTTACCATTCGTAGCCTGATGAAAATATCTCAAAAATGGCCCGTCAAAATGTTATCGTAGCTACAAGTTGAATCTTGAGTATGTGCATAACCTACCATAGTGCAACAAAAGGATTGTATTCAAACAAATGCACAATCGTTTCTGTCAAGTATAAAAGAGTTAAACACATAAAGCGGATAATTTGAGAGGAGATACCGGCAATGCAAAGTATAAATGCTATAAAATGCAAAGTCAACACAAAAGAACTCAATTGAAAGGAAATTTGTAGTTACCTGAACAAGTTTTGTGAGCTTTGATTTCGAAAACGAAAGATAGTGATCGATTTTCTCCTGCGTTTGAGGAATATGACCATCCTGCAAGGAGCCTGTGACTTTGTCCACCACTTTCTTGACTATGGTTTTATAAACATCTTTGCTGATATGACCTTCCTTCCATGTAGGTTTTAGAAGTTCCTTGACAAACTCCACAAGTGCAAATTTGAAAGCACGAATTCCCTTCGTATCCTTACTCTTCTTCTTATCATGGACCTCATCGTTTCCATTTGCATTTTCTGTCGTATCAATCTTTTGAGAGTCCTCATTTGTTGCTGGGCCAGTTTTGTTCTCGTTATCGCCATCACCATTCTTCTCTTTGATAGCATCACCATCAGCCGTTGGCTTCCCATGAAGAGTTTCTTCAGCAGAGATGCCACAAGGACCAGATGATAGAGGCAAATTTGGTATCTGTACTTCACCCTTCACTTCTGTAGTGCTCTTCTGTGGTGTTTTAGTGACTTCAATTTTCTTCAGCTGTAGGCTATTGCAGAGAGCAGAATCATGTTGCTTTGAGGATTCAATAACAGGAGCTGTCTTCATCGATGCCCCCAAAGCACCCATGGGTGCGTCCGAATAAGGGAATGAAGGTGCTTCTGACACACTATGCGTATTAAGGGAGGCATACAATTGAGGCAATGGTTGCGCATTTCCAAAATATTGTGCAAGAGAAGCTGAAAGGTCAGTTATTTGCCTAATTTGATCGTTCGTTACTATGTTCGGAGTAACAGTTGTTCCAGAATTAATTCCTGGCATGCTTTCATCCTTCTTCTGCAGTTTGACTCTGAAATTTCCATCTGAAATTTTCGGATTCGTTACAGTTCCGTCGGGATGGTCACTGTGATATGCCATTCTTTGTCCAAGGCCAACGTTACCCGAAGGATTGCCTTCAGCATGTGAAGCAGCTGTTCTGTCAATTGTAATGTTATCATTGGATGCTGATGCAATAGTATCATCTTTCGTTAAAGTTTGGTTTTTCTGAAAACGAGTAATATCAACTACTATGGGCTCTATGGCAATGTCTTGATTCTTAGCCAGAGCCTCTTGAACTATCGCATGGCTAATGGCTAAAGCCGTGGAAGTTTGAGAGCCAGAATCTTGCATAACGTTGCAATCGCCTTTCACTACATGATTGGATGGTTGCACAGGGTAGTGCCAATCAGGAGACATCTCCATATCATCACTTGGCCACTTTCTGTGACCTCTAGGGTCAGAACTGCCTGTGCAACCACCAGCATTCTCTGCCTTGCTCGGAATGGCATCATTCTTGTTGCTTCGCACTGTCTTGATATCAACAGCTCGATCCCACCGAGTTTTGCTCTCATTATTCAAACCATGATCACATTTTTGATCTGAAGGCCATGTATATCTTGGCTCTTCACTAGCAGTTTGTTCTTTTTTGTCCTCAATCAACTGAGTGAAATCCGAACCACTAGCCAATTCACTCGATTTTAAGCCATCCCACGACTGTTCCCTACCATCTGAACATTGGGCATGTTCCCATTTATCAGTACTCGACTTCCTCTCTGGACTTGCACGTGGCTGGCTATGATGAGAATACTTGCAATTTTTTCCATTACGACAAGATCCAGCAGCAAAATATTTACAGATAACAAGACTGCTACTGCAAGGTTCACGCTCACCACGTGAGAAGTACGCTTCTTTACTCTGATCATTTTTCCTGTCTCTACTAATATCATTTGGAGAATCTCGTGATAATTCATGAAATGCACTGTCATGAGAAAACGTGCAAGAGGCTCCCCTATGACACCTTCCCTTCACGAAGTCAGTACAATGAGCAGCTGATCTTCCACTTCTGGGATGGTCCTTAAAATCATGGGAAGTTGATCTAAAGGATCGGCCCCCCTTCCTGTTCCTATTTTCCAAGCTATCGTCCAGATTTTGATCGTCCTGGTGAAGAAATTGACAACCATTACCTCGCCTGCATCTTCCAGAAGTAAAATCTCTGCACAATTGAGTAGAAACACGTGTTCTATTTCTGTTTCTATCGTGAAATCCCGAGTCCCGCTTATTACCATGAGGAGGGCTTCTACTCCAACTGCGGCTTCTACTCCTACCCCTGAAACACAATCAAAACAAGCAACTTTAATCGAGAACGAAATTGCAATAGATCATCCCATCCCTTGGAAAAGAACTAACCAATCCTTACAGAAATACATAAATCCAGAAACTCTCGTTCAAATGAATGAACATGTATGCCCATACAAAATTTGAGAGATTTGAACAATTAACATTGTGCTCAAAGGATGAGGAAGTTGATATAAGCTCTTGAAGCTAATACCAGTGTATCTAACCTCACTGACCCGATCCAATCATTTCTATCAGACAGGTTAGAGCCATGACTTCTCCGTCCATCTAGATCAGGGGACATTCTCGTGTCGTAGCTTTTGTCAGCATCACATTCAGCAGTGCCGTCCATATTTTTATTATAGCCTTTATTAGGGCGATCCTCCTTAAGCGAAGCTCTGGTTCCAGGTAAAGGTTCCTCCTCTGACAGCAATCCCCAATCTTGCGTAGATTTCGAAACGGTATTGGTAGTCGCCATACCAGACCACTTGGAACCATCATCACTCGCTATTTCAGCAGAAATCCAACCAGGTCCTGATTCTTTTCCAGGCCAACTATGGTCTTGTACACTATCAGCTTCAAAGTGGGAATCTTCTCTCAAATCCCACTTTGACGAGTGTTTTCGGCCACTTCCACTCATAACTCTCAAGGATTTTCTCCTAAATACAGGCAGGATGAACATAAGTTAATTTTAATGGTGTTTGCTCAAAAGTGAGGGTATCAAAATCAAAAGAAGCTTGCAGGAGAACTTCAAGGAAAAATTATCTGCAGTGCCAGTGTAGAACACCAACTTGTGATCATTGTAAAAGGTCTAGCAAGATATATGATACAACCCTGTCATGATGGGAAGAGAAGATCCGAGGATATATAAACCAATCTGACAAAATAATTAATCCAATAGCACGTCATAAAACCCGACATTCCATTTTAACTGAGATGTAATCAGTATCACACACAAGGAAAACAGTCGAGCATGCACACGAACAAGAGCACAGTAGAACGCTCAATCAAAGACCACACTAATCTGTCACTAATTTTTAAAGCATTTGTGACTTCACCAAAACCGATACAAACTCCCAACACAATTTAGAAAGCCTTCAAAAAACCTAAATGGAAAACAACCATACTAGAGAAGTTGTAGGTTCTTGAGACAAATGGGACGGGATCCTTACAAATTTGCTCCCAGGCAGGCGTATGGTTGGACGTAAATAAATTTTATCGATGAAACACAAACCGAATGTCAGTATAGAACAGTTTAAAGCTCGCCTCATGGCTAAAGGATTCACCCAGCCTAGGTGAATCCTTTAGCCATGAAACATTTGCTCCAGTTGCCAAGTAAAATCTGATTCGTGTATATCTCTCTGTTGCAGCAAATCTTGGTTGTCATTATTTCTACTTGATAAGAGGTGTACATGGACATACCTCTTGGATTTGTGGACAAATATACTAGTGGAAGGTATGTAGACTCTAGGAAGTCTATCGTCTAAAGCAATAAACCAGGCTTGGTCTGAAAATTTTATAAATATGCTGAAACAAGATGGCTATACCCAGTATCAATCTAGTCACACTATGTTCGTCACTAATCAAACATTAGCTTTGTTGCTAGTGTAGCAAGTTAATTTCTGAACAAACTCTATGAGAAACATATGGAAGTTGTGTATAAGATATTGAGACATGTCAAGCACGATCCTCGAAATGGCCTCATTTTCAACACGACTAAAACCAATCTCTAGAAGTTTACATTAATGCGGGCTCGATTTCCTGTCTCCCTACCACACCAAGGAGCATTTAGGTAGCATATTCATCCAGTAGAGGTTCAAAAAACGAAATAGCCTATTCACTCTTTTCATACTATAGGGAGCCTTTAGGTAGCACATGAATATTTGCATAAAAGATTCTTTTTGGTATTTTTCAACGCTATTCGACCCTTGTAACCATACGTTCAAGGCAAACCTCCTCTCCACTGCACCCTAGCTCATTTTATCATTAGTGGCCCTAGCAAGTAACTTAGACTATTTATACCTCAATGATGAAGCTTATCCCTTATCCCTTACCCCTCATCCCCTCACTAGCAAGTAGCTTAGACTATTATCTATGGTGTTTACAAAAGACCTTCCCAATTTACAAAGACGGAGATATGACTAGAGGAAGCAAAGATACTAGACAATTTACACCCAAATATACGTGATAAACAACATTGTTGAAGAGCTTTCTATAAACTTGTGTCTTTTCTATGAATACTTTTTTATTTCTTTATTTTCACATATTCCAAAAGAAAGCAATGATGAGATTTTTTTTTTCCATAGTAGGGCTTTTGCATTCTTGAAAGGGTGGTACGTTAAGGTCATGCCCAATAAATCCTTTACCTCCCTGGGAAAAGTGAGATGTCATCCTAAGATATACAGAATCTTTGTCTAGAACTGAGCGTATGTGCAATGCATAAATAAGTTGCTTTGTGATTGTTGTCTTTCTTACCTAATGGGCACCAATTTGGAAATAGAGTCGGGTAATGGCTTTATACGCTATTTTTCAAAGGAAAAACTTCAGTTTATTAAGTGATGTCCTTTCCATATTATCTTTGCTAGCGTGGGATTTATTACTTCTATTTTTTTCCCTATGTCCATAATCAAAGATTTTGTAGGATGAGTCTATCAACAATGTCTTTCTATTTCTGTAGCCACTTTTTGTGGCATTTCGAATAGAGAAATGTAGCTAAAAGGGGAAGTTGGACAGTGTGGCTTCTATTAGGGCGAGCCTACCGCCTTTGGAAGTTATAACGTTGGCAACCTTTTTTCTATTTTTTTTTTTAATAATAGTCTTCCAGAAGGAAAATGATTTATGAGTCGGTTCCCATGTAGGGGTAATCCTATGTACATATTCGATCATTCACCCTTTTCACAACCGTATTTGCTACAAAGGCTTCAATCATCCCTATGCTAAAATTGCCCATAATCTCTATTTTTTTGGAGATTGATATAATGTCTATAGAATCTTTCGAAGAATTTTATTGTCTTAATCATGTTTTTTATGGAAGATACATTAGACAAATCAGAGAAGAGGATTGTATCCATCCGCAAACTAAAGGTGGTTGATGCTTAAGCCTTCATTACCAACCTGAACGCCTATATCTGTCTTTCGTATTCAACCTTTGTGAGTAAAAGACCGAGGCAATTCATTATCATTATGAAAAGAAAAAGGGATAGTGAATCCCCTTGTCGAAGACTCTGTGTGGCAAAGATCTTTCTTCCTCATGATCTTTTATTGATGATGATGGAGAAGTTCGTGGATGAAATGAATCCTACAATAATGTTTTCGAGAAAAGTCCAATCGAACTTGTCAAATGCCTTTTCCATGTCAAGTTTAATGATTGTACCTTTTTGTTTGTTTCTTTCTTTCACATTCATCTATAAGTTCATATGTCATGAGGAATGCATCGAGAATTTGTCGCCCCTCTATAAAAGTTGTTTGTTGCTCTGTAATCATGAAAGGGAAATAGTTTGACAATTCTAGCCGAACACACAATTCCATCTTCCTTCAATTAGAAATCGAACCATGGTTCAATAACAAGAATAAGTATCTAGATTCTATCATCTCGACCTCATTGAGATTCCTCGTTAGATTTCCTATCATTATCCTCCATCCACAAGATCTTCCTCCAACATTTCTTTCCCAACAATGCCATGTAGCTCAACCATAGGGTAAAAGCTAGAAATTTAGCATTACAAAACGATATTTTTTCCGCATTCATGACTTCGAGTAAGTAGAATTTCAAGGGTTATTTGAGTTTTAGAGACGTTCCATGATATGCTTCAAAAGTGGCTGTCATCGTTTCTCGTATTCGTGAACCATCCTACAAGCTCTCTCATAAATACTTACTATTATTTTTCTCCCTAACCCATTTCGTTCACGAGAAGAAGTACATTCGTTCATTAACCTTTTTTCACTTCGCTATATCAACATATAAGATGTAAAAAAAAAGTCAAGCTTCGACCTACGAAGACACCTGTTGTTGTTGTTGAATTTGCTTTTGATAATCTTATATTAAAATGCTCAATTTCCCTAAGAAGCTTCACAACTATTTGCATATTCTAAATAAGTATCTCCAAACTCTCCTTTCCATATGAAATCCACCCCTCCCTTTGTCCACCTTATTTGTCACTTCGGTTGCATGGAACATCGAAATATAGTACACAATGGAACATTAGTCGCTGCTAGTATAAGGGATGGCTCACATAGCACGCCATAAAAAAGCCACTTAAAGGTCACAAAGATGGTGGGAGTTACACATTGAATAAATTACATTGTCTTTAAGGGTAAATTTACAATGCTCGAAGTGGACAACGACCATAAAAATAGGCCAGTTGAACTACTACCCATGGAAACCCTCCAAACAAACCATATGTACTCTTCAACGACTAATAAGATACTAAGTAAACTTTTCAATCCACGCATCTCTCTTCACCATGTAATTTATCCACATTTGTGAACACTATAGAAGTTCACAAGCACTTTGTCCATTATTCATTCTCCTTGAGTTTGAGGAACTATAGTTTTCTCATAAAATTCCTTGAAAACAAGCTTGAACTTAAAAATTGACTTAGATCCAGGAATTTGTGCTAATGCCCAATTGCTCTTGTAGCGGAACAGAGAGCCATTGCCATAAGTTATTATTGAACACCATTGCTAATCTTTCCATCAACCGACCACGTGAAGATACTGCAGAAAATTATATTTTGACATTAGCACACTCTACGTGATACATTAACTAAAGAAGAGGGCATCTATCAAAGAACCTAACATGTTGGGGTCTGAACAGTTAACTTTGGCAGGAAAAAGAACCCAAGACTTAAGCAAGAGGTAAATTAATAAATAAACATCCAGTAACTAAATTATTTTAGGATTCAGCCTAAAGTTTTAATGAGTAATATGAATGATAATAATAATCTGATTTACAAACTACGACAGAAAATCAGCCAAACTGCAAGTGTTCTAAATACTAAGACCAGCCACACGGTATTTTAAGAGAAATATAAACAGAATACCATATTCTGTGGAGCTAAAGATGCTCATGAATCATTTTTTGTGTAGCTTTCAAGGATATGCTTAAACTAATGAGACTTCGGTAGTAAAAATTTACGGCAATTAAAATTCAAAAAATAGGCAAGAAGGAAAAACTAAAAAAGGGACGAGACATGTGCCGCCAATAGAACTCTGCAGCAGATTCCCATGGACAAACATGCCAAAGAGCACATGAAACAATAGACAACCATTCTTTGACTTTCATATCCACACCCACAGATATTATGAATTGAGCTCCCCACACAACAATCCAACGTCAATCAGTTGATTGGTCGCAGAAAATAAGAAGCGTGCTCACAGTGTTTCTACGAGAAAACCTAGATTGGCAAGATAAACTTGAGCCTTCCAGTTTCTTATAGAGACTTTGGGTGGAGGGGGTATTTAATCCAACGGATCTGTTTTCTTACTAAAGAACTGAACTTCCATTCAGAAAATAAATGAATAAAGGAAAGTACAAGGGCATCCAAAAAACCAAGCTCCACCAAAGGAAACCCAACTAAAGAAAGGGGCAACAATCAAGTACAATAAGACCTAGAGAATAGTAACAAAAAGATGTTATCACCGACACTCGAAGAAAATCATAGAACCTAATGAGGGACCAAACATTTATTGGGTCCCTCCTACCCTCTCTAGAGGTCCTATTATTCATCTTGCTTGCAACGAAAACTTTCTTCTCTCTCGAAAAGGCGGATGGAAAAGGAACTCTCCGATCATCTCCCTATACCCGTAAGTAGCAAACTGAAAATCAAAAGTCAAAATAGAGACTCCAAACTATCCGAGCAAAGTTGTAGCTCCAAAGAATATGATCAATTCAACTATTACCTAATTGTCCAAGATCATTTCATTACTAGATCCAGATAATATAACATAAAATCTTAACGCCCAAACCTTAGCCTTCAAAAGAACGAATGTTCCCCCAAATTCTATATTCCAATGACATCACTTAGAAAACCTATTCCAACGACAACTATAAAATAAACAAGCCACAAGCATTCCACTCTATTGTATATGCCAACATCAAGAAAAAAGGGTCCAATGTTGCACTATTAAACACTAACAATCTGCACGTAGCTCACTTTTTTTCTTTTTATGAAGTAAGCACCTACGAGATGTGCTTAGAAGATATTTCCTTTTAATTTCAATCAATTTAATAAATCCTACCATAACCTAGCCACTAACCAAGCATGAGGACTTTCACTTGTCAAAAAAGACTACAGGGTGCCGAAGTCATGTGTACTCCACCAATAAAATTTCATGGCTGCATCTAGAGTGGTAGCCTGAGCTCCCTATCCCAATCTCCTCCAAAGATCAACTTAAAATCCGCACTTGAAGAGATATGACTTCCAAGTTACGAAACTTGAACTAATAGTGTAAAGAGGATGTGAGATCCGTGGTTAAATCCATGGGAAAAATCATAAGCGCAAATAACCTTTTCTTTCTCAAGAAAAACCACTGACAACAATCAAATAAAGTATTGAAGTTCTATCAACTCCAAAGTATAGCATTCTTTTTGGGCATCAGACGTTAATCTTCAACTCAGCAACTACTCAATCCATCAACTTAACATTGCCTAACATCCAGCTGAACTAGGGTTCTATGCAAGTGTAATCAAATCCTAAGGAAAGATCATCTCCGTTTCTCAAAAAGCAACCTCTCGTTTCAAATACTTGAGCAGAAGGCAAAGTGGAAAAAAAAAACATCTCAATTCTAAGTCATCGATTCCCAAAGATACCCATAAGCACAAGCAATCTCGAGAACAGAAGAAAAATACATTGGCGAAAAAGAAAAGGAAAACAAGAAAGAACGCGTAACTGATCGCGTTGGGGGCATGGGGAGTAGTAACGGGAAAGGCCCAAACTTTGAAGTTGAAGAACCTCGCAGCACATACAGTCCGACACAAAACGAGTAAGAGATCAAGACCCAGATACGAAAACGTCCATACAACAAAACTGTAGAAGATTAAGGGAAGAGAGAAACAAAGAACTCACATGAAAGAAGAGGGCTTCTGGCAGAAAGCGGCGATTGTGTAACCCTAGAATTTGATTGAAGAAGAATATGGGCAAGAACCAAGCTAAATCTTCATAAGGGATGTTTTGGGCATCTTGTTTGCAGAGTGAGTGGGAGGAAGACGAAGAGTGAGGAAGTCGGCGATGAGCAAAAAGGGTTCAAAGACCCAATTATCTTTTCGCGATGCTTTTTTCCTTAAACATAATTCGTAGTTACCTCCAAATTTTGATCTTCGTCTCGTCTTCAATGGGTTCTGTTGTGTTTTTTCTCCTTCCCACACAACAACCTAATCAAGAACCAACCTTTTTAGCCTTTTTCGATAATCAAATTTAGTGTCCAAAGTGGGTGATTTTTCTTCCTTCAATGTAATAATTTCGTTTCTTATTTATAACATATTAGAAATTCATAATATTGTTACAACAAAAAAAAAAAAAAAAAAAAAANGCTTGTTTTATTCTTTTCCTTCACAAATAACCCTTGAAATTATTTGTTTTCCAAAAAGTCAAAATTTGAAAACTAAAAAAAAATAAAATTATAAACTCATTTTTATTTTGTAAATTTGACGACATATTCAAAAAATTAAGAGGTAAAAAACTAAGAATTTAAAAAAATAATAATAATAAAAGCTTTTGAGACTCTCCCCGACTATATTAAATTTAAGAACAATACATTATGGACATTATATATTTCCAACAAATAATATATTTTAGCGATTTATTTTTTTATTTTCTTATTTTTTTGCCTTTCTATATCTTAAATTTCTTCTTTCAACAAATAATGAATGAATGCATAATTTCACTGTGTGTGTGTGTGTGTGTGTTCAGCATTTTATGGAAATGTAGAAGACAAAAAAAGATGCACTAATTATAAAGAAATCCCCACTGAAAATGTCACATGTCCAGTTATACACAGGAAGGAAATGCATTAATTCTCAAGAATTATAAATGAAGAAAATTTTGAAAGAAAAAGAAAAACAAATCTGACCCGCTTTCCTTTTCCCCTGTGAACCAACCGTCACCAATTTGCCTCCAAAGCAAGTAGGCTACACGTGATAACTTGACACATGACAATACAATAAAATGCATGCGCGCAGAGACCTGGGTTGGGGAGAGAAGGCACTCGGTCATACCTGGCTCGGAATATTTGAAGCCATGTCCAAATTTTGTTGCTGCTGCAAAGCAATTGCTGGCTGTCTACAAGACGATGCACAGTCCACCATCGCCCTTGGTCCTCACCTATATATTCATCCAAAAACACCTAAACCATATGTTTTTTTAATAAGTTGAGATGAGACTTGAGAGAGAATATATTCATCCAAAAACACCTAAACCATATGTTTTTTTAATAAGTTGAGATGAGACTTGAGAGAGACTCGGAGGGAATTCTCAAGAAATGGGCAACTTTGAAAGCCGAAAATTACTCTGAGACTTGAGAGAGACTCGGAGGGAATTCTCAAGAAATGGGCAACTTTGAAAGCCGAAAATTACTCTTTGTTTGAGGGAAAGCTTTCAGCCTAAGGAACAAGAGATAATGTATGTAAAGCAGTGTCTATACTCGTTTGGTTTACATCTGAAGTTTGCAAAACAATTTGGGTGGGGGTGAACTTCTTGGAAAAGAAAAGCTTTCTTTATTGAACATAAAAGTTGTATCAGATTTCAGAGTCAGATTTGATCTCTTTGGGTGGTGCGAACTGCTTGCTAAGCCGTGATCTTGTCCATGGATCCATTGGAGCCTTCTGAGGTGGTTGGGGATTTGGAGGCTTCGACTGTCTCAGCTCATTTTCTCTATCAATAAATCTGTATCGATAGCATAGAGAAATTATGAATTCATACATTGATTCAACTTTCAATAAATTTGTATCAACAGCACAAATAATCAATTAAAAACTGTACCAGCAGTATTTATTTATAACCGTTTCGTACATCATCTATCCATTATTTAATACAGCTGTATAACTGAAGAAACATAGCAGCTGTCGATGGTAAGCACTTACTCTATATAAGCCATTGGTGCAGCATCGCCAACACGTATACGCGTCCGAAGAAGTCTTGTATATCCACCAGCTCTATATCTGTTGAACATAACATCCGTCCAATTTAATACTTATAAATAAAAGCATGAACTACGGGTTAACAAATTTGGGACTCACTTGTATCGATAAGCCAGTTCTGTGAATAGTTTGTGAAGGACATCATCGCCTCTTACAAATGCAGCAGCATGCCTTGAAGCACAAAGGGAACCCTAGATTGGGGGGGAAAAAAGTCACAACATGTTTATCTTTTATGAATAAAATGAAAATAGTGAAATAAAGATTTTCTTATAATAAACCATGATTTCATTAAGAAAAATGAAAGAATATACAAGGACATACATAAAACACCCGCCCTAACACACACAAAAAATAGAGTACGCCTCTAACTACAAAAAAGGACAGTCCCAAGAACAAGACAAAGCTCATAATTATAAAAAGATTTAGTTATTGATGTCCAGAAAGAGGCATTAAATCTAGTCACTTAACCAACATCATCAATTGATCTCTTGACCTTTCTAAAAATCTATCATTCCTCCCAAACCAGATATCCCCACAAAACACAAAGAAATTGGCCTACCACAAAACTCTACCATGCTCCTTGAAAGGAGAGCGCAAAAACACCCCCAATCTGGGCTCTACCATCAATCTCTAAGCCATCAACTCCGAATATGAAGAGCAAACTGGCAGTCTCAAACAGAAGATCCAAATCCTTCTCAAGCCTCCTATAGAGAGTGCACCCTTTCGAGAACAAAACACAGGAAGAGTGTCTTTGCACGCAATTCAAGGTGTAAAATAATTATTAAACTATCTTTGAAGCAAAGACAGTTTAATCAACTTCAAAGATAATTTAATAATTCCTTTACAAGAACTCTGTTTGTGGTTGATTTCATTGGTTTTCTTCTCGATCACAGCAAGTTAGAGTCTGAAGTAAATGACAGTGTCCTTGGTGCAAATAAGAGTGAGCAGAAGACAACCCAACTATATACACCTTTATGTAACGCAGAGTCATTACATTTTAAAATCAAACATTATATGATGTCTCTGGAACTGCTTTGCTACTTTAATTTCAACAACATCCAACAAACTTCAAACCACGGCTTCCTCTTCACTTTCAAATAGTTACAACAAATCTTCCTTCCGAAGGTCTTTCTTTCTCCATATTGATATCCCGTAATTAATTTATGGTTTCCATCTTTTGAGGATTACTAATACTGAAATAAGAATGATTTGAAATAAAGGCATCATCCTGGGCCCAAATTTTAGTGGTCTAACTCATTAATTGGACATGCCTCTTTCTTATTTGGCTTAGCTTCCAATGTTGGTTGCGGACCAAATCCAATTTTCCTCCGTTACCGGCAAACATATTTATCAAGCCCATGCCCAATACCATCTCTTGCTTCCTGCATTAGAATTGAATTGCAAAACTTGACCTCCGAGCCTTGTCTTTTTCTCTCCCTCGAATTATTACATCATACTCATTTTAGATCAGCTAAATCTTGAACCATGGCATTTGCATTTATCCTTTACCAATTAGCCCTTCATCTAATAAGTGGAATATAATTTCATATATAATCTAATTGATAAAGAATCCAACCTATGAAGCATGGATAAGGATACGATACAAACACAATGACATGTCATTTTTTACAAATCTAGGACACAGACACACACAGTAAGGACACATTTGTTAAAATTTGCATTTTTTTTTTTAAATATACATCCTTTTTATACAATATGAAAACTTTAAATTCAACAAGTTTAATGGATTTATATACAATGAATTTGATGTATTTTACACTAAAAATTTATTTTTGTCCTATACTATTATTTGTCTATTTAGTATGCTAAAGAAGTTTACAAATATTGGATTAATATTGGCTTTCTATAACTAGTATCTAATACAAATCTAGTGTTACCAAGTGTCCAATAAGTGTTGGAGTGTCTGTCAAACATGAACATGTGAGCCAGACTAAACTGTCTGTGCTTCTTAGCATACAACCTATATCAAAATTTGGAGGCAGAACACACCCTCCCCAGTGAGGGGAAAAGAAGAAAATAAATAAATAAAACATTGAGAAGGGAAAACAAAAGTTAAGTTCTACGGACCTCTTTTCCAAATTGAACCATGTTATCAGCAAGCCGCCGAATTTCTTTAGCCTGCAAACAGGTTGAAAGACAAATGCAGAAATAAGTTGAAAATATGGTCATAAATTCATAATAGTGTTGATGTTCTAAATAAAAAAAAAAAAATCTATACTTGATCTCAAGGAATGAAACATATCCTTCAACAGTAAGCTTGGGGTTAAAATTTGAAGGAACAGAAAAGATGCAACCCAAGGGGAAAGAGATGACAAATATGTAACTAACCAAATCTGTAAATTCAGATTCTAAGAAAAAACAAAACCTAAGCTCAGTTCAGACAATACAAGACGTCAAAATTTTCAACCTCCCGATAATTCCATTTACAATGCAACAAACCTACGATTAACTTCAGAGTTCAGTAAGATAAAATAATCTAACAACGAAACCGAAGGGGGGGGTTCGGGTGAACATGAAGCTAATGCATCACTTGTAAAAGCAAAATTCAGAAAAGTTAAACATCGAGATTCCAATAAATGATAAGAAGAAAGTCAATAAGGATACCTTTGGAACAGTAGTCTCAATACGCTCGTGCTTCACCAACTGAGAAACCATTGTTCTGCCAAAAGAAGAGAACAGACGTTCAAAAATTGGGACATAAAACTTAATTGATAGTTGCTGAAAGAAGTGAGCAACCTCAGCATAGACACTCGTTCAGCTGCATCTCGACCAAGCTTTCTGAACTTCGTCATTGTTAATGGCCGAAAGAAAGCAGACTGAGTTCGAAGATGAAAAACCCTCGAGTTTCGTTTCGGGGGGTTTTAAAGGGTTTCGTTTCGGGGGTTTTAAAGGGACGAAGCCGAAAAGGCAGCTTCTGGGCTTCGACCTGAGCCCAAGCAGAGAGGACTACGTATTAAAATTTCAACCAAATTTTAATTATTACATTAAAATGTTATTAAAAAATTGGTCTATTTTTACAACTATCTAATCTTCAAAAATATTAATAAGATTTTATACAAAGTCTCTAAAATATTAAAAAATTAATTAATTTATTAAATACAAGTTTGAACGTCTCTAAAATATTAAAAAATTAATTAATTTATTAAATACAAGTTTGAACATTTCCGTCAAATGGACTCCAAAGTTTTAAAATAAGAGGCTAACAAATACGTAACAAATACGTAATGGGTCAAACCATGAAGTTGGCAGTGATACATAACGGACCAACGTAATGGGTCAAATGGCAGTGATACATAACGGACCAACGTAATGGGTCAAATGGCAGTGATATATAACGGACCAAAGTGAACAATATATATTAGCGGTGGACTTGAACGGTTATAAATGGTATAAGAGCTAGACATCAAACGATGTGTCAATGAGGTGACTTGAACGGTTATAAATGGTATAAGAGCCAGACATCAAACGATGTGTCAATGAGGTGAGCGGTGGACTTGAACTGTTATAAATGGTATAAGAGCCAGACATCAAACGATGTGTCAATGAGGTGAGTGGATTGTGAGATCCCACGTTAGTTAAAGAAGGAAAGAAACGAAACATTCCTTATAAGAGTGTGAAAATCTCTCCTTAGCAGAACCGTGTTAAAACCGTAAAGCTGACAGCGATATGTACGAGATAGAGCAGACAATATCTACTAACGGTGGGGTTTAGATCTTACAAAAGATTTCAATACTTTATTTAAACAAATCTCGTGCAAATTGTTCCAAAAGCTATCAATGTCAAAATCTCGTCAAATCCCTACTATACAAGAATCGTTGTCACGTGCTTGTTACGTTTGAGTTCCATGTTCCTCCGATCAACGTCCCGACTCTCTCGCCCTTTATGGCTTTCGAGATGTTGTCCGGTTTTGTTAGATTGAAGACAACAACTGCATCAGAAAGAACAATGATCGTTACTTCAATTTATTCTAAGCCGACGTCGAACAGTGATCTATTGTATAAAGTGATATAAAATACATACCAGGAATGTTGTTTTCCTGACATAGAGTAATCGCTGTCATGTCCATCACTGAAAGGTCCTTCGACGTTACTTCCTGGTATGTAAGAGTCTCGAGTAGACGTGCATTCGTGTTTTGTTTCGGATCATCATCGTAAACCCCGTCAACGTTTGTCGCTTTCAGCAGAACTTCTGCATTAACTGGATAGACATTTTGAAAGTTAGAGCTGTAGAGATAAATAATTACCATCCACCTATAACAACCCAAATCCACTGTTAGTAGTATCATCGTAAGCCTCACAGTTTTAAAACGCGTTTATTAGGGAGAGGTTTCTACACCCTTATAAGGAATGCTTCGCTCCCCTCTCCAACCGATATGGGATCTCACAATCCACCCTCTTTGGGGGCCCAACGTCCTCGCTAGCACACCGCCCAATGTTGACCCTGATCGCTAGTAGGTATTGTCCACTTTGACCCGTGTTGTATTGCTGTCAGGCTCACGGTTTTAAAACGCGTCTACTAGGGAGAGATTTCTACCCCCTCATAAGGAATGTTTCGTTCTCCTCTCCAACAGATGTGGAATCTCACACCACCAAACATGTTTCAGCAACTAGTTAAAAAGTAGAAAGTTTAGGTCGGTTTGAAATGACTTTCTAAATGTTTAAAAAACGCATTTACAAACGATTTTTTAAACACTCGAAAAGTTATTCCAAACAGACTTTTAACACGATTTGACTCACTTTCTGCGCAACGGAGGGCCGCTGCAGTATCTGTAGTGAAAAACGGATTGCCTATACCAGCTGCAAAGATCACAACTCTGCCTTTTTCCAAGTGCCTCACAGCCCTACGTCGAATATATGGCTCCGCAACCTCGGACATACGAAACGCCGTCTGCACTCGTGTGGGAATGCCTATACTCTCCATTGTGGCTTGAAGAAATATAGCATTCATCACTGTTGCCAACATCCTGAAATAGAGAGCTAAAATTCAAAGATAGTAACACAATGTGCGCCAGCATATGAGGATTCCATGAGGAGAACATGTGTAATATGTTCTCGTTTTCCTATGCTATCTTCATTTTGTGTGAACATTCATGTTGCTTGTATGCAGGTAAGTAATATCGAAATGTCGAATGTCGTAGCAAACGATCAGCCGACGTCTAGAAACATATAGTATAAAGGAAATTACCCAATGTAATCGGCAGACGAACGGTCTAAGCCACTACATCCAGCCCACGACGATCCACGAAAAATGTTACCCCCACCAACTACTATAGCAACCTGAAACAACGCATCATCCATAACGATCGCACGTTCTAAACAAGGAAAAAGAACCGTCTTCAGAACTCCATTACTCTAAGATAAGCTATAGCCCAAGTCTACCACTAGTAGATATTGTCTTCTTTGAGTCTACCACTAGCAAATATTGTCAACGCGTCCACTAGAGAGAGGTTTCCACACTCTTATAAGGAATATTTTGTTCCCCTCTCTAATCGACGTGGAATCTTACAATCCACCCCCCTTGGAGGTCCAGCGTCCTCGCTGACATACCACCCAGTGTCTAGACCCAAGCCCACCACCAGCATACATTATCCTCTTTGGGCTTTCCCTTCCGAGCTTCCTCTCAAGGTTTTAAAACACGTCCACTAGGGAGAGGTTTCCACACCCTTATAAGGAATGCTTCATTTCCCTCTCCAACCGACGTGGGATCTCACACCTACTCTACAGACATAAGGTGTACGCAAGTGAAGAATCAGAATATCCAAATCTGTTTACTCAGTTCGTTCGAGAGTCGAGGAAAGTTGGTCAAGAACAAGTCATATTCTATCAACGGATTTGTATCTCTCCAAACAGTAGACAGATTATTGCTGCTACAACATTGAGATTCAATTCGAAAAAAGATCTTATACGCAAATAAAGGTCGGGCTACCTCAATGCCCAGACGCGTTACAGCTGCAACCTCCCTCGCAATCGCCATAGTAACCTGCAGTCAAAAAGTAGCTCAAGAGGAATGCAAGGTGCCAAAAATCATAAAAAGAAGAACAATATATGCTTGTAACAGACTATCATCCTTCAAACACCAACCTTCGGATCAATATTCTGCAACCGATCACCAGCAAGTGCTTCACCGCTTACTTTAAGCAATACTCTTCGCCATTTATACGATGGCATGGACATGGAAGCTTCATTTAGTGTCATCCCGCTAGGAGCCATAGATGATATCTGATGCTTCATGCTAGAGAAAACAGCAATTTGTCAGGGAGACAAGTTGAAACTCATTGGGGAAATCAAATAAGTTTCTACTTCAGATGCTTCACAAACATATTGTTGTGTTTAAAGTGTTCATTGCAATCTGAAGTCCAAACAAACCAGCATTAAAAATCGAACCATATCCCATAAACAAATTATATTCACTCGTTCAAGATTTCATCCATATCCCCGGACCCATAACTTGGAAGCAATTATCAATGACACAGAAAAATACAGGGGCAGGCGGGGCGGGATATCCATACCTCCCGTTCAAAGGGTCAGAGTTGGAACCCATTTCGCGAGCGGAACAGCTAACAACGAGCGACCCATTTGAGGTGGGATTATCCATCTTTAAACCATGGCGATGGGGCTTGAAGGGATTACGAGATTGCAATGGAAACGAGGAGGAAGAATAAGAAGCAAAACTGGAACAGGGAACAAGGGACATGGGTATTGCCATCAAAGAAACGAACAACAAAGAACGATTATCACCCCCTCACAAACCGCCGTCTTTCTCGTCTCTCTCTTGGCTGCCGAATGCGGAATTGAAAGTGGGTTTAGGGTTCTGCCTCACACTCACCTCCTTTTCCAATCAATAAGGGAGTTGGAGGTTGTGTTTTGTTTGTAGTGAATATCGCAGGGAAATAGATATCATTTCGTTGCTTCGGTATATAAGTTTGTGATACTCGGAGGGCATTCTTTTAATGTTCCTTGCTGAAGGACATTGGATAAGTCTCTATACGTTCAATCGACTAGAGTTTTGAAGCAAAAAAGAACATTTATGAATGTATAATTTTGACCCATTTTAAGACTACTACTTGTGAACAAATTTACAAATTTTCTTCCAAGTGTGGCATGTTTGAGGTTAAAAGCAATAAAATTAACATTAACCCATGAAGAAAGGCACCCAAATGACTAGAAATCTGCTAAGTGTATTTCATTTACAATTGGCAGGTAGTATTCACAAGAACTAAACAAGCAAAAATGGTGGCCTGCCTCTTTAGATTTACAAGATTTCGGACCTCTTAGAACAAATAAAAAAATAGAAAGGCTTTTCCGTTGGAAGATACAAACAGGAAAAAGAATCAACCACATGAAATGCCATGTTTTCTGATATTCTGAAACCTCTTTTGCTTTTGGAAGCTCAGGGAAAAGTGAGCTAATTCAAGCAGCGCTTCTAAAGCTTGATGGGCAATCCATAGTTGTGGAATGTCTTTATAGTTCCATCTAATCCAGCCACGACAATCACAAGGCCCCATGTTTCGAGTCGAGATCCTTGGTCGTGGGCGTCGCCGTTATGGCCATTTAGTTTCTTTTGATGACAATCTTGGTGTTCATCTTCTGCAACTGGTAAATCCCAGAGAGGTAGTCTCTCTTCTGGCCATGTTGCAGAACCTCGGCACAGACCATTGGCAGAGAACCAATTACTGAACGAAAAACACTCCACACCACTGGCATCTCCTTGGTTATCCCGTCTCTGTGACAACTGTGGTTGGCTGTTACCCAAGCACTTTGGTTCAGTTCCAGTGCCAGGACATGGTATAGCAACAGACACACCATCAGAAAAGAAATGCTCACAAGACTGCTGAGATTTCGTCTCGTTCGTCGACGAAAGACGAACGCTATCATAGTTCCACATATATACACGAGAGTCCTCTCCAACAGATACTATATGTTTTCCATTTTCTGTAAAGGAAGCAGACATCTGACTACCCGACTTCGATAGACCTACATTTCGAAAACCAGCAGGTAAGCATCTAGACCTTAAAGATTCAATGAACTACATGTCATCTAAAACTTGAAGCCGAATCCGGGCTAATAGAAGATATAAGCGGGAAGGAACTAAGCTAGGAAAATTCCTGATTGATTGAGCAATGACAATCAGGAGGTGGGCTTGGAAGCAGTGATTATCCAGTAAAACGAATTCTAATGAGCCATAAGAGAGCCGATCGGACTCGATACGTACCTTTGTATTGGCCGACGATTTTGGTTCCTTCAAATATGCGTACTTTAGAGTCTTCCGAAGTGATCATCACTCTTTGAGAGTTCTCTCCGAAAAACTGCAAAGAACATGTTTCAAATTGAGGCAACGTTATTTAAAGATCATACTTTCTTCCGCGAAACTATCAAAGTTCTGAGTAAAACCTGAATGCCAGTGATCCTTTTACCCGAGGCTTTATTTCTACCGCCAATATTGATCTGTTCATCCAGATTGATATAATCATCTCCTACAAAACGCCATAAAACTCTAAATCAGTAAATGAATTGAAGGAGGCAAAATCTGCATACACTGAAAAACATTGTGAGGGATGCACCACGGGTTGTACCTGATGTTTTGTAGAAACGGCAACTGCCAGTGATAGAACCAACAGCAAACCCCTGCTAACATAGAAGAACAAAGCATGATCAGAGCCCTGCATATGGCAATTGTTACTAACTTATTTTGTGAGAGTTCACAATTCTCACCTTCCCATCTGGTTGATAAGATATCGCGGTAATTGCATCTCGGATATCAGCCCAATCGACCACACGCTGCTTCAAGACGCCCCAAATCCGAATTTTTCCATCGATTGAGCCACTGACGAAGTAGTTTTCATCCATTGGATTGAATTGGATACAAGTAACTGGTTCCAATATAGAAAGTAATAACAGTTTAGAAAAGAGAATGCGACCTGTAAATGATTGTAACAGACGCAGGAATCGACAACTTACCGTAGTTTTTATGGTGGAAAACATTGAGACATTGATCTGAACCAACTTGCCACAAGCGCACGGTTTTATCCTTTGAGGATGAAAGAAGACACTGCAGCAAGAGGTTCGAGTTAGCTTCGTTTCTTCAACAGTTCGAAAAAAGAAACATACATTTGTCACAGATGTCTTACGTTTGAAGTAGACCAAGCTATATCCAAGACATCACTTGAATGTCCATGGAATTCTTGTACTGGCAACTCATCTATCTGAAAAACCTTTGCAGGAATGACAACAGTGGCAAATCTCAACGGTTTACTGCTGAAACTAGACTTCCCTTCTCTTGTGGCATCATTTGCTAAAAACTCACTAGAGGCATTTGTACGTGTTACACGCCAAATGCGAACGACTCCGTCTTCTCCTCCGCTTGCCAAATACTTCCCGTCTGGACTAAACTTCATTGTCCAAATCAAGCCCTTGTGAGCACAAATCTGCTGTCTCATATACAATGCACTAAATTCTGAACACTTCTTTTTGTTTTGGCACACCTTCATTCTGCAACTTTCGGATTTTGCAGGGTTTGATTTCGATTCCTCAGAAAACTCCGTAGCTCGTAGTCTTGCCGCCTTGTTTTTTAAGGATTTCCACCAAGTCAGTATCTTCTTTTTCCTAGCATCGATATCCTTGCAAGCTTCGACGTTAGCTTCACCTTGGCACCGTTGAAAGCTGGAGTTGGAAACAGAAGATGGTCGACTGGTTGCCTCGTTTGTCTCGTTTGCCTCGTTGCTGAATTCAGCACTTGGCATATCATTGTGGTGTACTACTGAATCATTGTCTTCTACATTACAGCTAGGTGCATAGTCAGAGCTTGAAACAGCTCCACTACACTCTGTGAGTCTGTCCAATTCTATCCTCCCTGATGAACAACTAGATTCAATCTCTGAATCCTGTGTACGAGTACTTGAAGAAGATGCAAATTCATTCAAACCAACTTCTTGAAGAAAATATTCCCTTCTCTTCTTAATGCTCTGAGGCTCTCTCATCCATATTTCATATCCCGACTTGCTCGCATCGACTTCTTCGGTTACCAAGGACTCCTCCAATGGCAAGTAATCTTCCGAGTCGAAGAAAACATCTGCATCTCCATCAGAGCTCAGCATGTCTTGATCGAGGAGCAGTATTCCACATCAAAATCCAAACACTTAACAATTCTACAAGAGAGCAAAGGAAAGAACTCAGCAACTTCTATAATATTTGCACGTAATCCAATTATCACGGCCCGAGTTTCATTCAGTAATACAATACAAAACAAAAGGAAGTGATTGGAATAATCAAATACAGGAAACACAGCCCAAGGAAGCAAGGTTCGAAGGCTATACCTCGAGATCACTGCAAAGCAACAGCAATATTCAACAGAGTGTCACCGACCCGGCTAAGATTATGGCTGATGCAACTTCTCAAGAGTCAATCCCCACGCCTTTGAGCAAAGTATAAAACAAACCCAAAAAAAACTAATCCAAGTGCTTTGTATTGAGCTCAAACCCAACGGAGGAGGAAGATTGGCCTCTAAATAAATAAGAGAAAATGGCGGGGGAAGGAACAAAAAAAATGGTGTAAAAGCAAAACAGATGTCAGTTGTTATAGACAAGAGTAAAAGGGCCTCGAGATCTGTGTTTGAAATTGTAAGCGCACGAGCGACAAACAAGAGCGGCGCGGTCCGATAAGCAGAAGCCTCTGGCTGTTGTTGTGCTTCTGCAGCCACTCTGTGCTCGCCTACTTATCTGCAAAGCGCATCAATCTATGTTAGCAACCAATTAAAATGGGTATCAGACATTATATTCATTGAATGAAGGAAATTAAATTACATCAAGTTAGAGAAACCCATTTGGAAATATGGATCGTGAGGTTTCTCAGAAATGATGCTTGATCTAGTGAAGCTATTTCACGTTTTGAAGCCAAACCCAGATGGGAAAGTTACAAGAAACGCGCAAATAAAGCCAAATCCTAAGACCCAGAAGAGAATAAAGAGAGATTTAAGCTATTAAATTGTCGAAAGTGAAAAAAAAAAAAAAAAAAAAAAAAAAAAAAAAAAAAAAAAAAAAAAAAAAAAAAAAAAAAAAAAAAAAAAAAA